AGGAGGTGAAGGATAGGGTTGCTCAGCATGACAACCGCCTGTCAGAAGCTGAAACCCAAATCGCAAAAGCTGAAACCCGAATCGAGAAAGCTGAAACCCGAATCAACCAAGTGAACAATCGGGTTGACAACGTGATGGCTGACGTGAAGAAAACGCTGGACGACCTCAAACTGGGGGATGGAATTACAGCTCCCGTAGTAACTACAACACCTTCGCTACGTGGGTTCAAAGTGCCACCGTTCGACGGGACTTCTTCCTGGTCAGCTTACAAAATCCAGTTCGAGGTCGTCATGGAGGCGAACGGCTGGAATAAAAACCAAGCCATGACTGCACTCACCCTAGGCCTGCGCGACCAGGCCTTAACTGTTTTGGAAGCTCTCGGTGAGGAAGTGACTTATGAACAGCTCTTTGAGGCATTAGAGGCGAGATATGGCGACGCTCACCTGAAACACGTCTTTCGCGCGCATCTTAAAGATCACGTGCAACGCAGCAACAAAAACCTGCAGCAGTGGGCCCTTGAGGTGGAGAAGATGGTTCGAAAAACATACCAGTCTGTGCCTGCGCTCATTGAAGGGAACCTGGTTCAGACATTCATCGACGGCATCCGCGACCTGGAAGTCAGAGCTGCTGTGAGGCTCGGGCACCACGAGACACTTAAGGACGCCTTGGCCCATGCACTGGAGGTAGAAGCCGTGCGGCAGGATCATCGTTCCCATCGCGTCAGGGAGGTTGCAGCAGCTACAGTTCGCGAACGCAACAAAGGATATAGCCCTAGGTGCTATGGTTGTGGGGAAAGGGACTATCTTCGATCCAGCTGCCCTAAGCGAACTGTAGAAAGGAAAATTGATCGATCTCGAGAGGGTAGTGCAGCTAACGGCACCGCCTGGCGGTGGCAGGATCATCGTTCCCTTCACGCTAGGGAGATTGCAGCAGTTACGGTTCGCGACCACAATAAAGGATACAGCCCTAGGTGCTATGGCTGTGGGGAAAGGGGCCATCTTCAATCCAGCTGCCCTAAGCGAACCCTAGAAAGGGAAGGTGAACGATCTCAGAAGGGAAGTGCGGCTAACATCACCGCCCAGCAGCGGCCGGGATACGACTTTACTATCAGACATCGCAGCGGGAAATCTCATGGCAACGCAGATGCATTGTCAAGAAGACCTTGTCCTGTAGATTGGAAACATTTTACTAGGCAGGAGAGTAAGGAAGTGGTATCCGTGAGGATGCTCAGGACAGACCACCTCAGCAAAGAGTGGGTCAGCCTACGACATGCACAGCAGGAAGATCCGGACATCAAGCCGATTCTGGAATGGATGAAGGTCAGTGCTCCCAAGCCCATGTGGAGCGACGTCTCAGCGATGAGTTCAACCACGAAAAGCTATTGGGCCCAATGGGACAGCTTGCTGATTCAGGATGAAGTCCTGTGCCGTAAATGGGACAATTGTCGAGGAGACAGCTGTCGTTTGCAAATGGTTGTCCCTAAAGCTAAAGTGCCGAATGTTCTACAGCTGTGCCATAATGGCCGTTCAAGAGTCCATCTGGGAGTTAAACGAACTCTACTGAAGGTCCGAGAACAGTTTTACTGGGTCCATTACCGTGACGATGTCGAGGATTGGTGTCGTACATGTACAAGTTCTGCGGCTGTGAGGGGACCTCAGACACGTAGAAGAGGAGCATCGAAATTGTACAATGTTGGTGCACCATGGGATAGGACAGCCCTTGTCATTGCGGAGCCGATACAGAAAGGCGCAAGAGGGACTCCTAAGATCCTGCATGTGGATCGCTTGGCGCGTTATTATGGGGCCGATAATGCTCGGGACGAGCATGTCTTAGGAGGGGGCAGTGTTGCGCGCCTAAGTTGACGCGATGAACCCGGCACTAGCGCCATCTAGTGTCAGGGACGAGAGCGAGGAGAGCTTTTCAGAAAATGACATCACTAATCTTTCAACCGACAGCGCCATCTAGTATCGAAACGAAGAACTAAGCTTCTAGAAGCCCGACACTCGAACTTTCGATGCCTTGTCGATTGGCGCGTGTGTTTACTTGAATATTCTGGATGTTTCGGTGATAATGTGTATTTATAGGCGCTGCAAGATGCAATCGGGGAAGTATTGAATGCGGCAAGACAAGCGAAGCTTCGGAGCGAAATAAAGTGAATCAGTGTGGTTAATTATTAGTGTTTTAAGTTTTAATTAGTGTAAAGTGAATTAAAATGTTAATTTTGGTAATTCAATCGGCAGTTTTTATTGTCACGAACCTCAAGCTCGTAACAATATCAACTAATACTGACAAATATCGATATTAACTCATCTTTCAGACGTATATACAGTAGGTAATCTATGAATTCACAAGTATTAGTATAATATTATTAGTATAATAATATATAGTATATATTATTAGTATAATAATATATAATAATATATAGTATTAGTATAATACATATCTGGCTTGAGAATAAGTTACAGATTAGAAAGCAAAGACTTTAGGACGATTGCATAGAGTATCACAACCCTTGACTCGATTTGGTGTTCCGATTGCCGATAATTGATTTTCGGAGAGAAATACTATTATTGTAGTGTAGTTTATAATTATAAAATTCACTTCACGTAATAGTTTTAACTTTAGAAATATATTTTCGTTTTTATTTCGCAAATTAAAGCAACTGAAAAAATATATTAGCACGAACTGAATTTATTTTGTATTATCACTCACATGACTATAATACACAGATATAGTATACAGATGTGAAGCTACTTTGTATCTATTCTATTCTATAGATAACTCAATGTAAATGAAGGGTGAAAAATTCCTTTATCATTCTACGGCTTTTTTTTACAGAATATTAAAAATTCTATAAACATTACTGATATTCCCCTTAAGCCCTCGTGGTAAGCTTAAATTGCTTGTGTTACGAGTGCTTCACGCCAGTAGTCTCACCTGGATGGATATCAGATTTCCGTCAGAGCCGAAGAAGAGTGTGGTGCCACTCACGCTGAAACTGCAGTTGCATTCTGCAGGCTGCTGCCGTGTTTGGCACTATAGGTCGGCCGATTGGGATGGGATGCGGTCTTTCTTTGCATCCTACCCTTGGGGGCGGGTTTGCTTCTCGCCGGACGATCCCAACGTTGTTGCGGATTCTGTCGCTGATGTGGTACTTCAGGGTATGGGACTTTTTATTCCTTCCTCTGTGGTGCCCATTAGAGGCAAACCTCAGCCATGATTTGGTCGTCCCTGTAAAATAGCATCATGCTATAAGCAGAAGTGCTACCGAGCCTTGACTGACGCATCAGCGTCCCGGGATGTAAACACCAGCGCTCTAAAAAAAGAAGTATAATTCCGCCTCTAGGTCCTTCAAAAGAGTCATTGCCAAGGCAAAGTCAGAGCACATGGGCAGAATTGGCGAGAAACTAGTTCGCCTTCCTTCTGGAACCCGTGCATTCTGGTCTCTCGCCAAGGCTGTCCAGGGGAATTTCTGTCAGTCATCTCTTCCATCTCTGCACAGGGAGGACGACTCACTGGCCCATACCGCAAAGGAGAAAGCCGATCTTCTAGGCTCTTTCTTTGCGTCCTTACTCGACTCTCGATGACGGGGGGAGTACGCCGCCGACCATCCCGCGGTGTGAGTGTTCCATGCCGGAAGTGCAGTTCACACAGCGTTCGGTTCACAAAGCACTCCTCTCTCTGGACATCCACAAGTCGAGTGGGCCTGACGGAATCCCTCCAATTCTGCTGGGGACGTGTGCTCCAGAGTTGGCACCGGTTTTAACGCGTCTTTTCTGGTATTCTTACTCCCTAGGCGTAGTCCCAAAATCATGGAAGACGGCTTTCGTCCACCCGATCCCTAAAAAAGGCGACCGCTCAGACCCGTCCAACTAATGGACTATCGCCATCACCTCCTTGTTCTCCAAAACAATGGAGTCCATTGTAAGCTGCCAGCTCATGAGGTACCTTGAGGATCACCAGCTGATTAGTGATCGCCAATACGGTTTGCGCCGTGGTCGGTCAGCTGGTGATCTTCTGGTCTACCTTACTCACAGATGGGCGGAGGCAGTAGAGTCCAAGGGGGGAGGCATTGGCCGTTAGTTTGGACATTGCGAAGGCCTTCGATCGGGTTTGGCACAAAGCGCTTCTTTCGAAGCTCCCTTCCTATGGGCTTCCCAAAAAATTGTGCGATTGGATCACCAGCTTTCTTGGAGATTGGAGCATCAAGGTCGTTGTAGACGGTGCAAGCTCCGATTGCAAGCCTATTAATGCTGGTGTTCCACAAGGCTGCGTGCTATCGCCAACGCTGTTTCTTCTGCATATCAATGATATGTTGCAAACCCGTAGCATTCATTGCTATGCAGATGACAGCACTGGTGATGCTCTTTACACCGGCCGAGCCAATATTTCTCGGGAAAACGTCTCCGAGTGCCGGGACAAACTTGTGTCTGAAGTCGAGTCTTTGCTGAACAGAGTCTCGGATTGGGGGCGACTAAATCTAGTCCAGTTTAACCCCCAGAGGACACAAGTTTGCGCGTTAACCGCTAAACCCCTTTGTCGTATCTCTTCAGTTTCAAGGTTTTCCCCTTGTTGCCTCAGCCAGTATCGGAATCCTCGGCGTCGACATATCGACTGACGTGTAGTTTCGTGGTCACTTGGAAGAAAAGGCCAAATTGGCCACTTCTGAATACTACTAATTTTTTGTTTAATACCACAAACTATGTCCGGTTCAGAAGGGCTAGAACCCAGAGCCACAAAGCCAGTTAATAAAAAAACCACAAACTATGGCTTACCTTAACCAAAAGCACAGAGTACATTATGACCAAAACTAAGACATCATGCGTAGTATCCTCTTAGTAGTCTGTGAAGACATCAACAAAGGATATCAAAATAAATAAATATTAGGTAATTTTTGATTAACGATACTGTATTACAACATCAAAATCGATTTGAATACATGGTACGTAATACATAAATCGCAAGCAATTTTCCTTTAATTGACGCATTACTCAGCAGACATGAAAGAAAAGAAAAAGAAACAAGGAGAAATAAATCGCAAGAAAAAGGTTCCCAAAAGTACTGATGTAAGTAAAAAAAAATTAGATTTTTTTGCAAATCAGATTTATGTAAAGAATTTTTGTCTATCCTACGCCGCCTACTATAAAATGGTGGAAATGTTATAAAAATCCTACGCGAATGTTCATTTGTACCCTTTTCCGTGTACTCTGTACTCCTACTCCTTCGGCGCAGTCCCGAAATCATGGAAGACGGCCCTCGTGCACCCGATCCCTAAAAAAGTAACCGCTCTGATCTGCAACTATAGGCCTATCACCATCACCTCCTTGTTATCTAAACTAATGGAATCCAATATTAACAGCCAGCTCATGCGGTACCTTGAAGGTCACCAGCTGATTAGTGACCGCCAGTACGGTTTCCGTATCGGTGCTCCGATTACAAGCCCATTAATGCTGGTGTTCCACAAGGCTGCATGCTATCCCCAATGCTGTTTCTTCTTCATATCAATGACATGTTGCAAACCGGTAACATTCATTGCTATGCAGACGACAGCACTGGTGATGCTTTATACACTGGCCATACCAATATTTCTCAGGAAAACATCTCTGAGTACCAGGACAAACTTGTGTCTGAAGTCAAAACTTTGTTGAACAAAGTCTCGGACTGGGGGCAGCTAAATCTAGTCCAGTTTAATCCAAAGACACAAGTTTGCACATTTACTGCTATAAAAACCCCCTACGTTGTATCTCCTCAGTTTCAATGCACTACCCTTGTTGCCTCAGCCAGTATTGGAATCCTCAGCGTCGACATATCGAGTGACGTGCAGTTTCTTGGTCACTGGGAAGAGATGGCCAAATTGGCCTCAAAAAACTTGGCATGCTCAGTGGAGCATACAGTATTTCACGCCAGCTCACCGTCTGAATTTTACAAGGCGCAGGTTTGGCCGCACATGGCATGCTATTCCCATCTCTGGGCAGGGGCTCCCCAGTGCCAACTCCTTCCTTTTGATCGCATCCAGCGCGGAGCTGTCCGAATCGTCAGCCACCAAGCCCTTTCTGATCGGATTGACTCACTGACACTGTGAAGAGATGTTGCATCTCTTTGCATATTATATCGCATCTATCACAGTGAGTGCTCTGAGGAATTTGTTCGGACTAATTCCAGCCGCATAATTTCACCATCGCAGATCGCGACAAAACTCAGTACATACACACATACCATCTATGACTGGCGGTCCACCACCGTGCAATTTAAAAGAAGTTTTCTTTCTTGCACAACTTCCTTGTAGAATCGACTACCACCAGAGATATTTCCAGACTGATACAACTTAGGGACCTTCAAGAAAAGAGCCTACTCCTTTTTAAAAGCCCGGCAAGGCATCTGCAATTCCCTTGGTGTTGCAGTTGGCATAACTGAGACGTATGCTTGTTTGCCCCTCTCTTATAAAAAAAAAAAAGTTGCTATTACCATTTTGTGGTAAATCTCATCTCCTTTCTGATGTCACTCCAATCTTTTTTTGTACTTACATTCATGTGAACATTCTTTCAATTTGGGAATAAAAGCGTCTTAATAACCAGTCAGTTAGCAAGTTATATCAAGAGTTACTGATTGCTTATATTGAAAAATGTTTAAAATACTTCTTTAGGTAATTAAATGTGCAAGTTTTGTTATTAGAGCTGTTACTAGAACTAACAATAGGGAAGGTAAGGAAGCTCATGTGGGTTTTCAAATCTCTGAGAAACGTGATGACTACCGAACTACTGAATAAAATATATTGCACTAGCCCAATCTGAAATAATCTACTGAATGTCCGTATGGGGAGAAGCAGCTAAATCGTGCTTTATAGATCTAGAAAGGGAGCAAAGATCCTTGATTAAAGTAACTCTGGGCCCTATAGGTTTTCCACCGAAACCCTATACCAAACATCTAAGCTGCTCTCCATTGGGAAAATTTATATTTCACACTTTATATTACACATGATACTAAGATATCACAAAATGTTACCTCTTGACCATACCAAACTTACAAACAGATGGTGCGACATCGTGGCTCCATCATACCCTGAACATACAGTTTTTGCCACTCGACAAAATATAGCTCAAGCCCCTCGAGCCTATAAAAAGATCAACTTAGCTTACTTAAAATTTACCCCATGCAAATGTTTGAGTGTAGAAAAACTCTGACCAAGTGGCTCTCCACTCTTAATTATGATAATGTGGAAGACATTTTGGTCAGAAAGAGATGAACCTGTTTCAAATAACACACACTGACACAACACAAATTAGTAGGTGATGTGACACATTTATAAACTTGCACACAAACGCACCCACTCACACCCGCGCATATATACACACACACACACACACACACATATCATAAACTAACACACTACGGACTCAACTACTTAGGTATACATTTCTCCTAAGCTTCTTTCTTTCTTTTTAAACTGCTTGAATAAATGTACTATTGAGTATAAAATTTGGCTATTTTGATATTTTGATGTAAATCTAAGTTGTTATGATTATGTAGGAGGAGCGAGACTCTCCCAACACAAGTATCTTATGATTACTTTTTGTGAGGTCTCGGCAAACTAATTGTAAAAGATTTACTGAAATAAAAAAAAATTATTATTTTTTATTATTATTCCAATTTTTGTATTGGTAGCGTAAATGACCCTGCTATTAACCTGAAGTGTCTATGCACAAAAAAAACTTTATTTTTCATTTCTATACAAATGGTTCAAAGAAATACATTTTTAACTAACTGATTTAAACTTTAAAGTATATTTGAAAATATATATTTCTTTCTACATTTTATTGTAACCTAATTCCTGGCAACTTTGCCAAATATGTGGCAATCTTTCTATGAAACCTATGTTCAATAGTGGACTTTTGATAGGCTTTAATGAATGAATAAATGTTGTATATAGTACAGTAGAAGTCCGATAATCCGGCACATTCGAGACCGGCTCGGTGCCGGACTACCGAAAATTCCGGTCTATCGGGCGGTAATTACAAGAACAATTAGGTTAATAATTAAACTACAAATAAAGTATGCAAATATGTATGTATGTACACATACTGTAAAACATATTTCACTTAGATTTAAAAAAGTCACGAATGTCTTTGTTTTCTTGACTTTTGGCGTTTAGTATAAAAATGGCGAAGACGCTTCGTAATTGATTAACGGAGCTAACTAGCCGGAGGAGCTAACTAACTACGTAATTGTTTCCGAACAATACCGAGCGCTTCCGGATGATCCCGAACTACCCCGAAAACTTCTGAATAGCTCTCGAGCGTTTTTATTTGCTTTAAAGAATAAAGACACACTTTTGGTGAAAACCGAAAACCAAAGAGGGATGCCGGACTATCGGGCATTCTGGACTGTTGGATGCCGGACTAATGGACTTCTACTGTAGTATAAGTTGACATTTGTCAAAAAATGTGAGTATGAGCAAGGCATACGGTGGAACTATTAGAAAAGAAGAGTATGTGAAGGAGAAGTTGTTTTCGGGAAATTATTAGATCTCCTTTTCACTCCAAACACAACTTTTTCATCACTTTAAAAGAAACAGGTGCAGGTATATTATAATTGTAGCAATAGTAATGGGTTGGCTCCACCGGGAAGGGCCACATTCTCACGAAATACCAGTCTAAAATAGCAACTTAATGCTGATGTGTTTTGTATGATGACTTAGAGAACCAGTGATCTTTCTTACTGGAAACGAGGCATTAAATCTTAGTACTCAGGGATGACAATGCTTTTGATTCTTAATCGGATATATTATGTAGATGTCTATGAGCCACAGCATATTCTTAACTTCAGGTGGGCTGTATGCTCATTTGACACCCTTATTCTATTTAAAAAAAAACTTTTGCTTGGGCCTTATATGTTGCAGCTAAACTTTGACGGTTTACAGGACTTTATTCGCTCAACAGTCAAAATATCCATCCCGGCTATGTGTCAAATATATATTGTCAGTAACTGTTATCCATTGCGGCGATTCCATTCCCGCAATTTTCTTTTATACTTTAATTATTATACTTCGGTTTTAGCACTAAATATCGTAATTATATATAAATTAAGATGAGAAAAGCATGTTTGTTATATTTTATTGTATAAACCACAACATTATATACTCATATATTTAAATAAAATTTGAAATTAAGTAAATTATATCTCCCGGGCAGAAAATATAATCCACAATGGCTGCAACATTTAATAAATGTAATAATGTAATAAATTTAATGGGTTTTCCCTTTTTTCCTATAAAATAGTAAATTTTCCCTTTTTTCCTAACCTTAATAAATACCCCTTTTTGCTAGGTGTGTTAAATTTAATTCTTGTCTTACATTAATGTAGCCTTCAAATTTACGCAAGCAGGCTTAGGTGCGGGGGGATAGGGGGGGGGGGGGTATCAATTGCTTACTCTTGCTAACAAAGTGAGCAGGGTAAACATAGTTCATCAACTGCAAATGTCTTGAAAGATTGTTGAAAGTTGTTCCAATTGTTAAGTGTTTAATGACAGAAGAAGGCTGGGTGAAACTTGTCATCATTTTCACCGTAGATGGAAGTCCTGACGAGAATCCAAGATATGACGATATATATCTTTAGCTATTGAATACTTCCAGGAATATAATTTTGATGCGTATTTCCTTGCCACAAATGATCCAATTCGTAGTGCTTTTAACCGGGCAGAGCAAATAATGGCTAATTTGTCATCAGCTTGCTGGTCTTATGTTACTAAATGATTTTGATTTAATATACATATAAATTAGGGGGAGGTCCCCGAGAACCGGACACTTAAGGAACAATAAAAATAAAAAAGATCGTATAATATTCTCATTTGTTTATTTCACTTTAATAAGTTCACAACTATATAAATCAACACAGATATATCAACAGCCTCAAATCTTACTTTAAATGTAGTAGGTACTAAGGAACATTTAACATAGAAAAAAGGACGTTCTTAAAAAGGTTCCCTAATGACGGACAGCCAACTTTTCGTTCATTTTTAAACCTAAACATTATTTTAACAAACAATTCGTAAGAATATCTATTAAAATTG